CATTATTCAAAACTACCTGACAATAAAATTAATAGACCGTGATAATTAGCCCTGCAAAACGTTTATAATGGTACACGTACGAAGGCTTTACAAATATAGGTTTTACAAATATTTTAATGCCTAAACCTAAATATATCTGGACAATGATCTTATCTGGATAATGGTCTTCTTCCAGTTACAGCTCTAGATAGAGCTGAGATGTCCACAGCTTACAAACGCTCAGGTCAAAAACCAGTGGCCAGCAGTGAGCAGTGACGTAAGATAGAGGCTGTTTACCTCGTTTCCAAAATTTACGGTATGAAAAACTCTAGAGAGAGAAATACTGTTTAAAAATCTATTCTCTGCTCTATGTCTGAGGCAAAACTGCACATTTAAAACACTCAAACTTGAAGAGAAATCCATGTGCATTCTCTGTTACTAAATTTACTTTTCTTTCTGCAAGGTCAAGAAAAGATAAAAATATACCAAAGTGATATACTCTCAAAAAGTTATCCATGTCCTAAAATAAGTTATGGCAGCTCAAAATTCAAAATCGTGATTAATGTACTGTAATAAACCCAAAAAAGGTAACATGTAGGAATTGCCCTATATTTGAATACGTAAAATGCCAAACAAAATCAAGAACACACTAAGAATTTCAGTCAGCATCAATCAATATATTAATATCTATAAATTACCCAATTAAAATGATATGTTTTACCTGTAACAGCTACGTGGCAGCTACAAAACAAAGCTGGAGGAGTGTGAATGGTGGTTCTCTACAATGACTTTTTACTAAAATGAATCAGATATTGAAGAAACTTCTTCAGGACAAGCATTAATGGACGTGGTCCGATGGTATAAAAAAATAACTTACCGATGGAGGTTAAAATTCCATTACAAAATGGACAGGTGGTACCCAAGCCAACACAACTAAACGTAAGGTACAAAATAAAAGGGTACTACTCCATAAACTGGTATTTGGGGCGTTAATATCCCAAAGTCTGGAAATTAACGAAAAAAAAAAAAACGCCAACACACAACCAAAACAACAGCAGAAAGAAAAAGAAAATGGCACTGGACCGTCTGCGCACGAAACCCACTAAAAAAAGGTTAAATAAGTGGCCCTGAAGAAGGCTCGTTCGCTAGAAAATCAAAAGGAACAGATATAAGCCACTAAAGAAGGTATCTCGATGGTAAAGCAAATTTTAACAGAAGGCATCTTGATAGGAAGGTAAGCATTCGTATACGGCTAATACGTGTAACATAGACATCACAAGGTGGCGCGTTAGTTGCCTATGGACAGACAGAACCAAATCTGTCTACGAGGGACCAACAATATTTTATGAAGGAATGTCTAAGATAGTCGTTAATAATACTATAACTTTAGTATCCAAAAGAGTTCAACACAATACTGAGTCGCTGAGAATGACACGATATAATACGTGAGAAATTATACAATCAATTAAATATGAAATTTGCCAAAAGAAGATCATTGAAAAAAAGGCTTTGGTCTAGGAATGGGCACTCTACTATTAATAAAGAGAAATTCAGATTACTGATAAGTGATCAAAATAATAAAAAAGGTTACGTGGTTTTGGCACGTGACATACTTCTTACATAATTTGCAAAGATCGGCACAAGCCTGATGAAGTTAGATGTTTTCACCAGTAAGTATTATTATTGCCTTGATACAACGATGTCACTTTGATAGGCATTGGTGGTCGAATGAGTGTAAAGTGCGCACTGAAACTTCGCTTATTTGCATATATAACTGTTCTTTAATACAAAACTGAGAAATTACCATTACCGACCACAATTATTTAATAAGAAGTATCTTTTTTCTCCCTAGATAGATAATGGTGATAAAAAGCACCTAGATAAAGAATGAATGAATGAAAATCATAGGATGTTAACTCGTTATATTTCGAAATATTTGAAAATTATTGAGAAATACGTAATGTTGGGCATAAAGGCTCATAAAGCTAATCTCTTTGATTACCTCTATAATCAGCATGATTTTAGAAAATTTCAATTAATGTTAATAGAAGAAAAATCCAACCAACGTTTTCAACTTATTACCCTCACAATAAATTGGACCAGACCAAACAGGCTGTCTGTTACATTCATTAAATTGAGTTTGTCTGTCCGACAACAGACAACTAGATATTTTGAAGTATTTGTAATATTATTAGTTGGAAATGTCAAAAACAAGAACAGATATGAACGGTTGTTTTTACTCAGGAGCTATAATATTGCTGAAATATTGAAGAAGGTTGACGTTGCCTAGAAAACTTCCAGTTCAAATCGTTGTTACATGCAAACTCGCAACTCCAGTGAGAAAACTTCGTAGGCGTCTAGAAAAATCCATCCCCAGACGCCTCGGTCTCCCGTTTCTCTTTAGTTTTTTTTTGAATAACGGCTCTCCCAAGGGTGTACTGATAATTTCTGGATTACTGGAAAGGTAAAAACTCCGGGATCATACATATTCATGAATCGGCTTCGCACTTATCTAAGACGCCAACGTTTCCACCTGTCTCTCTTTCCACCCTCCTTTGAGCTATAGTTGTTATCTTTCGAAATTAATGTTAACCAGACTGCTGGAAACTATAAACCTGTAAAGTGGGTGCGAAATGTTAAAATGGCGAGCAGATTTGCATTGCATTGAAGAAACCAAGCTGCTTGCTAAGTACGAGATAAGACGAACACGGGAAGAGTGCTCTTTAAGTTTACTTCGATGCATATTGAGGTTAGATATCATCGCATCCTAAGATCACATTCATAGACTTTTCTTGAGGACCGAGTGGCGTTTGAGAAATAACATCTTTTTGGATTGTAAACAATCATGTTCAATACAAGATTTAACGTTTGCATTTCACAATAGGCTGTAACAATACAAGCAAACAAAATCTGTAAAATGACCCTACACAAAACACATATGAAATTAGTGCCAGTCGATTTGAAAATAATATATTTTTAGCCCCATCGAACAAAAGTTCTCATGGGAGCAAAGCAGACCTAAGGTTAATTTTTGAGACATTCGGGGATGAAGTTTGTAAAAAATGGTGAATGTGCCGATTGTAGTTCTCAGACCAAATACTCGGAGAATAGGTAGTCTGAAAGAAATACTTCATTGAAAAACCTTGTAGGAGGGTATTGGGAGGTATCATGTTGATCTGGACCATACATTTTGGAAAGGTGGATTTATGGAAAATGCAAATGCATTTCTTGAACTCAAATATTACTCAATATGTAGTTCACATTGGCGTTTAAAACAAATAAACTCTATCGCCTGGAACATGGATATAAATTAAAGTAAGTAGCTAACTGATTATCAATTGGACAAGCTTATACGTCATTAATTTAATTTGTTCCTAAAAAAAATTATGAAGCAACCAAAACGTCGGTAAGCTAGTCCATTCAACATTTTTAGTTTCATTTATTGGCCAGTGTAAAGTAGAATAAGTTGCAACAATTAATTGCCATATTCACACATGTGCGCTTTCTCTTTCATCCTCAAAACGAACACGGCCTTGATTTGACCTTATGAAGGTTGCAATCAAAGACAAGGAAACAGCCACGACCTTTGTGTGCCCTTGAGAAACGAACTGTCCTATTGAGTCCTCTGAATTCTCAAACTGACTTATTTCAACATTAACATCAAAAAATCAACATGGCCTCACGTTGACCTAAGGATTATCTTCAAGATACATATGACACCGCTCAACAGCCTACAAGGTGATTTAATGAAATAGTTCCTTCAATAAACTAATTTTCAGTTTTTTGTTCTGAGAACTACAGTCACAATAACCATTTTTGCAAATCGAGCAAACTGTTCCCCTATTTATCAGAAACTAATCATATCGAGCTTTGGTCCCAGGAATGCGAGAAACATATCCTTCTGAATTCTTCAGCAAATCAACTGGGACCCAAATTCCATAATTTTGTACGATTTTCGAAATTTCAAAAATATACAGATGACCATACTTCGTCATCGGGTTTTCTCCTTCTTTGACGTGATTCAGTTAAAGCAGCCGTGTTAGAAGCCTTCCAGGTGACCTACGCAAGGGCACCTGCAGAAACTTTATTAAATTAAATTATAGACAAGCGACATCTTTTTGTGAAAGTGCATCTGCCGGTTTCTTGAAGTGCGGCGTTAGTTAGCAAATTTTCTCAATCGGAAAAAGGATTCTAAAACTTGTTGAATTGTACACAAGCTACAATCAGCGCTTCCGGCCCTGTAATTCTCTCAAAGAAGTTGATCACTATGAAAATTTAGGTATTCTAGAAAATACGTAGTTTAAATCTCCATCAACGTTTTTCTCTTTGTTTCATTACTTTCGGCATTTTGATCCAAAATTGTCCCATTTTCAGATATTTCAGTTAGTATTTTCAGATGAGCGCATGATCGCATCACGTTCCACTTCAAATCTAAGATAAAATTCAATGAGATACAAAAAATTAATTTTTAAAACACAAGTATCGTTTTGTTTTTAATGTTACCTGATATATTTAGAATCTTAGTGTGTTTTATTTTAGATTTGAAGTAGAAAGTGCGCTCATATAAAAATACTTAAGTTAAATATCCAAAAATGGGTGAATTTCGGCCAGCAATCCCAAAATTGACAATTTTGTGCTTTAGGAAAGCAATCAAATACTCAAATAAAATAAAAATGATGAATGGTTAAAATATATATATATATATATATATATATATATATATATATGTTCTAAGATATTTAAATGCAAAGAATTCAGATCATGAGCTACTTTCAAAATCGAAAAGTCCCGGTTATAGTGTCTCATTATTTTATTGTATATTTGTTGATAAAAAAAACATCACAGTTGCGCTTACAGGATTTCAGTCTGGGAGGGGTAAAATGGAAAGCAAATTCTCAGTGTGAGGTACTGAAGTGTTATAATGACTTAACATTAAAAGCATGGACATATACAAACATATGAATTTGTTCCAGTAATTTCTGTAGAAAATACATACAATTTTCTTTATTTTGAGTCATACGAAATCAAAGTCTAAATAAAGCAAACCAAGCTCGAGCAATCTTCATATATTAAAACAAAAATGCAAAATAATATAATCTATCGCAGACTTTTCTACATAAGAATGTCAGACAAAACAACAAAAAATACATCTGCATGAAAAAAATAACAATAACAAATATGGTACGATTTCTATAAAGTATAAAACTGAATGTAAATGAAAATAAAATTCTTAAACATGAGAAAAACGCAAAAAATATTCATTGCATAACTACATTCTCTTAGCCAGTCTCAAAAAGCAAAAACATATAAACTATGAAACTACATCAGTTCACACTCTAAAAATAAAACAATCATTACATTAGCTTAGAAAGTGATTTGAACAGAATTTGAAAAGACTTTTATACCAATCTGCTGGCCAATAAATAAATATATTATCTTGATTGGATACTTTGGAAAAGATCACCGTGGTGGTTTAAACGTCAGTAAACCCTTAAGTACATCTGCTTTTTTATTTATTGGCCAACAGAAGGGAGATGGATTTGAGAGACAACCTCAGGCAAAGTTCAGGTGTTCTCATATTACAAAATCAACCTATGATTGTACTCACGTCTATTTTAATATCCCTATGCATATCCAAAAAAGCTAAACCCACTAATCGCTCTTGTAACATAGTGGAGCGCAGCCAAGTTTCTATCCTCTTCAGATGGGAGAAATTCCATTCAGATGTCGTAACACATACCGGCAATGAAATAATTGTAGGCATATATTACTTGAAGGAAAAATGTTTTCATCACATGATAAATATAGAGACATTCCACTGTCTACAATATCTTGTGTACGTCACTTCCAAGTGTCGAATTCTGCTTTTAATTTAGAGATTGTTTACTAATATGTCCATTACTTCAGCTTCAGTTTTTGAATTCAATACTGACGCAAAGAAAATATTAAAATTGTATATATTCAAAGATTCTTCATTGAACCGGTATACCAAATCCTGTAATATATTATCTAGTAAAGGGACATATACATAGGTTCAGGATGTAATGATTTTCCTTGTCAGACGTAACTGTGTTCGGTCTATTCATTTGCCTGCTTGTTATTCTTCGCACAGCCAGTTCAATACCCAGCGTTTAATGCGATTTTATTATAGATGTGAATAGTATTCTAAAGTGTTGCTCGGAATTTGCGCGTCGGTCTTGTACAACTGAAATAGTATTTCCTATGAGTTTGACAGCGTATTGTTAGTCAATTGTTTTTGATTGTAAAATCTTACTCAGGTTGACTGTGAAAGCTACTATATCACACAAACACTTTAGTAATACGATAAATTTGGTGGAAGTAATGTCTTCAAAGAATCCGCTTTTGAAGAAGCGTCGCGGTCTTTCCAATTTTATATAATATTTACTAACTCTACAATTTTCTCGAATTTGCTTTCAAATTGGCGCACAGAATCATGCCTCTCAGTCAATCGTGATTCGCACATACTATGAATTTGATATCGATCTAGTTTTCTTTTTAATACTGTATTTCTTTTAGCGGATGCTTTGAAGAACGCAATTACTTCATTATACCTACAGTATTTCTTACTGCTTGGACACTGCTGCTTTTTGAAATCGAAAGATTCAAGGCATGATTTGCCCATGGACTTTTTAGAGCATTTGGCAAGCATTTTTGCAACTCCATTACAGCGCCCTTTTGTTCACCTAACATTAGGTTACACCAATGCCCACACATAGTTTTGAGTCTAAGTTATTGGTTTTAATGAAACGCTTGACTGTTTGAGCAGTAATTTGATCTGTGAGTTTGGGCTCCATTGCATCTTGATCAAAATTTGAGTAGCAATTGACAAGTCCCATGAAGTTCTCGTAAATATGTCTTTGATAACAATACCGCAATACGATTGACATTTGTGAATTATGGCTAATGTCTGTAGTTTCGTTAAATATAATACTGTAATACTGACGTTGCCACACGCGGCTTAAAACTATATTCAAGCTTTATTCGCCACAACAATCTATAACTTCATTTTCCATGCGGCTGCTTATGTAAGTAGCATGCGCTTTTGAGTTCTCTAAGCTTTTTTCAATAAATTGTTGCCGCTATCGACTCTAAACCGTATCAGTTTTCTAAAATTACCTTCATTATTAAGGACATCCTCGTCATTCGTGATGTCATTAGAAAAAAGTCGTCCCCTATCTCTATGCCCTCTAAGTGTTATATTTTGGCATCCTAAAAAAATTATAGATTCTATTATAGGAGTTAAACTTTGCCGATTTATAGATACTTGCTTAATTCGCTCTGAACCTATTATACAGGATAATTCTCTGATTTTTGTAAATCTTTAAAAACTGCTTCTGTATGATATACTAAGTGACATATAAATCCGAACACCCAGTTTAAATGGTTTTATTTTAATAAAATTTTGTATAAGTACTTAATGAAGCATAATAAGTAAATGATAAAAATTTCAAAATGATTGCACTGCTTTAAAGCCCTTTGACCTTTAATAATGTTTGGATGCACCCTGATGTGCTACGCATTCTCCAACGCGCCTAGGCATGCTTCTGATCAGGTGGTCAATGTCCTCCTGTGGTATCTCATTCCAGGCAACCACCAACTCCTCTCGAAGTGCTTCTAGAGTCTGAGGAGGACGTTGCAAATTGAGCAATCCCCTACCCATCATATCCCACACGTGCTCAATTGGGGATAAGTCGGGAGATCTTGGTAGCCATGGTAACAATGTGACATCATTATGTTGAAAGAAGTCTATTGTGACTCTTGCAACATGTGGTCGGGCATTATCTTGTTGGAAAGTTGGATCTGCCAGGGTGTCAAGACAGGGTAAAAGATGGGGTTCTAGAACTTCGTGGATATAACGCTGCGCGTTCATGTTACCTCTGATGAAGATTAAAGGTGACCTGGAACCATAAGCTATAGCACCCCAAACCATTACTCCAACAGTGTGATGAACATGTCTTTCAACAAAAAACTGTGGATTTCTCCTTTCACCACGTCGCCTTCTAACCCTGGCACGACCATCGTGCATGCCTAAACAAAATCGAGACTCTTCACTAAAGACAATACTGTTCCATTCCTGATCCCAGAGTGACCGTTGTCTGCACCACTCAAGGCGATTACGTCGGTGTTCTCGAGTTAAAGGGAGGACCCAGTGTGGCCGGTATGAAAACAAGCCAAAACTTCTCATTCGTCGGTAAACACTTCGCATTCCAATAGGTCTTCCGTGTTCTGCAAACAATTCATTTGCAATGGACCTGGTAGTGGAGAAACGGTCCCTTAAGGACAATAATCTTAGGCGGCGATCTTCACGGTCTGTTGTTCTACGGCGGCGTCCAGTGCCCCTTGCTCTTTGCCTTCTCGCAGCCATGCCTGACAACACCTAACCACAGTGTCTACACTTCTTTGCACTCTAACTACAATTGCCCGAAAAGAAAGTCCAGCTTCCCGAAGTCCCACTATACGGCCCCTATCAAACTCACTAAGTTGACGAAATCGTACAGGTCTCCGTACCCTAGGCATCGTAACCGATCGTAAAGGATGTCAAGAACCAAAATCCGCCAACGTTGATTCTTTACTGCGGCTGAAATATTCATTTTTAGACCGTTAGTGAATTAAAAAAAAGCAGTATAAAAACCGGAATGTCCAACTGATAAGGCTGAACATTTTTTCACTTGTTATTTACAGTAAGATAAATACATTCACCAACTTTTATTAAAATAAAGCCATTTAAACTGGGTGTTTGGATTTATATGTCACTTAGTATATATTGAGTTCTCATATGTTTCACAATCACCGGTTTTGCCATACAATTTCGAAAACTTCTTTAGTGGTACGGTAACAAGTTTTCCCAATTTAGTTGATCTATGTATTCCTAATAATTTTGCAAAAACCACGCAATATTTACAGAAAAGCCCTTGTAGTTCCTTTAAATATGACAGCCAAGGAAATTTCTCAAAGTGTTTTTTGATAAGTAACATTTCACTTCTTTATTATTTTTCAAGTGTGTGGAATAGGAATAGTTGAAAGAGTTATTAGGGATCATTGCACACCTCAATAAGGTATATTCTTCATGGGAAGACAAGTTGGCTGAAATTTACATATGGCGAAACATCAATAAAATTGGATTCTTTAGGTTTCGCACCCGATTGTTCAACACTTGGTTTTAGCATACGGTGCAACATCAAGAAATTTTGAAGTGAAAGGCTCAGGTTGAATTGTAGGATTATCATCAGTTTTTTCCGGTAATTCTTGTGCCGGTGGATCAGACGGATCAAAAATGAAAAAGCAGCTTTTTTAGCATCAAAATTAAATTCTAATAACCGCTATCTGTGGCAAGAAATCAACAGGCTCGTCGAAGCTACAAGCAACGAAAGAGAGGCGCTTTTTGTCAGATGGCAGGAGAGACGGGATGCAACTGGCCAAGGTGCATCGACCAGAAGGCTAATCCCAGATATTAAAAATGGTTTGACAAGGGAGCGGTGCGGATAGATTACCATACCGCACAGTTCCTCACTGGAGCTTGTTGTTTTGACAGCTACCTGAAGAGGGTAGGAAAGAGAGGTACGCGAATTGCGTATATTGCAATGAAGGGGAGGATACGCCTTACTACTTTTTTTTTTATATCGAAACAGCCGCGCAGGCAGAAGCCTAAATGCCGGAACACCGCGGCTGCTATGGCTATGGTGATCCCAAAGAAATTTTGTTGATACGATTTTTGAACTGCCTAAGGTTAGTAGAACTGGGAAAAGCTTCCTCCCGTAGATTGTTCCACAATCTAGACACCCTCGGGACAAAGGAGCGGTCGTATCGGCCAGTTCTGGATGTACGAAGTTTGACACGGCTAGGATGGGACGCCGAAGTCAGGCGGGTCTGTCTGCCAGGCACATCGCGCGGCGGCATCATGGAAGAGAGCTCTGAGGAGCAAAGCCCGTTGGTGTAGCGATAGAAAAGAGCTAGATCGCCGACGACCCGCCGGTGCGAAAGAGTCCCGAGACTGTCTGTTAGAGAAGAGTCATCGATCAGTCGGACCGCCCTCCTCTGGACAGCATCGAGCATGGACAATGTAGTCGGGGCGGCAGCACTCCAAATGTGTGAGCAATACTCGAGGCTAGGCCTTATCTGGGCCTTGTATAGAGTGAGAATGTCATGCGGAGAAAAGTACTTCTTAGCCCTAAACAAATAGCCTAGCTTTTTCCCAGCAGCTGCAGCTATTGAAGAGATGTGTTCGTGCCAGATCAGGTCCTCGGTGATCTGGACTCCGACCAGCCGAAATGAATGGCTCTTTGGTAGAACTCGACCGTCCATCGAAACTGTATGAGCGCTAGGACGCTTTTTGTTCGTCAAAGTACAGTACTGTGTTTTGGAAGCATTGAACTGTACAAGATTGTTGCGTCCCCAAGCAGTGATAGCCTCCAGGTCTCTTGTCAGAGAAGAAGTCGTCGCTAGTCATCTTTTTTCCAGCTCGGCGGCAGAGATCGGCTTGTCACTCTGAATTCCTGCATGTAGAGTGCTGTCATCAGCGAAGCTGTGGATTGGGTTGATCGTGCAGGAAAGGAGGTCGTTGATATGTAAGAGAAACAGTGTTGGAGCCAAGACCGATCCCTGGGGAACACCCGCGTTGACGTTGTGGGATGAAGAGGAGAATCCGTCAATTACGACGGATATCTTGCGGCCAGAGATAAAGTCAGCCACCCATCTGCAAAGCTTTTCTGGGAGGCCATAGGATGGAAGTTTGCTTAAGAGGGCAGCGTGCCACAGCTGATCGAACGCTTTCGTGATGTCAAGAGCAACGACATGAGCCTCACCATGAGACTGGATGAGTTTACTCCACAGTTGCGTGACGTAAGCTAGGAGGTCCCCTGTGGATCGTTGGTGCCGGAAACCGTACTGCCTGTCGCTAATCAAGCTGTGACGTTCGAGGTAGTCCAGAAGCTCGCGATTTGTGCACCTCTCCATCACTTTACTTATGACAGAAAGCAAAGCTATAGGCCTGTAGTTGTAAGGGTCGGTTTTAGATCCTTTTTTTCGGATGGGCTGTACATGAGCAAATTTCCAGTTTTCTGGGAAGGTGCCGGATTCATAAGATATCTGGAAGAGACGCGAAAGAACTGAAGCAAGCTCCGCTGCACATCTCTTCAGTACAATGGCAGGAATCAAGTCCGGACCAGAAGCTTTGTTGATGTCGAGCGACAAGAGCACTCGTCTTACGGTCTTATGCCTGAATGTTACCTCCCGCATAGTGTGGGGAACCCTTTTAATTGACGGCACTTGGGCGTTGGTGGGGACGTCCATGGTGGAGTTGGCAGCAAAGATCTTGGCTAGCACTTCCGCCTTGGCCTTCGAGTCGAATACAATAGTTCCATCCTGACACGTAAGTGGTGGAAGGCTACTGTGTGAGAAGTTCTTTTCAATCTGCTTGGCCAGCGTCCAGAAAGACCGACTGCCATTGCGCTGCGACATTACCCTGTGCCTAACTTTGATATCATGCTGGTTTTTGGCATTGCGAACCGCTTCGTTATATTTGTTTCTGGACTCGACGTCGGCTTGTCTGTTCTCTACAGTGGGGTTTTGTAAGTAGGTTCTGTGGGCCTTGATCTTCTGCTGGCGAGCAGTGTCACACGATTTGTTGAACCAGCCGTTGGACCCTGGTTTAGGAACTTTCAC